AGTACCTTTCTCTCTTAACCTCATCCTTAAATCAATGTTAAAACATTTTTATTAAAGCTAGGCATGGTGATACATGCATTCAATCCCAGCACTTGGGAGGCAGATTTGGTCAGACCTTTGAGTTTGAGGCCAGCCTTGTCTACAGAAGGGATTCTGGAAAAGCCACAGCTACACAGAGAAACTCTAGCTCAAAAAACAGAAAAAAAAAAAAAAAACCAACAAAAAAACTAAAGAACATCTTTATTACTCTCCCAGCCCTAATCCCCAAAAGAGTATTTCTCTGTGGGTGTTCTAGTATAAGAAGAGCCACACAAACCACTCAGACTCTGGTCTCAGTTAGATATGGATGGTTAATTGGAATGCCCTTTTTAAGCTGATTGCTCAGAGCCACAGTAAGAACTTAGGAGCCCAGCTAGGACATGTACAAGCTCTCACAGCAGGGTTTTTTTTTTTTTTTTTTTTTTTTTTTTTTTTTTTTTATAGATAGAACCGAATGCAAAAGACATGGGGAGGGCAGTAACACATTTTGGCTAACCATACAAAGCACTATTACGTTTTTGGCGATCTAGACAAAGTGTTACTAGCTAACCTTTAAGCTGATTGGTCCTAAGTGAGATAAGTGAGGCAGGGCTTAGGGTCTTTGAGAGTACAAGTGTAGTGAGGTGTGTAGAAGAAGGGTGCAACCAGAGTGTAGCCAAGTGAATAGACAATACAGCATGAATTATAACACTATTGAATCATAGTAAAATACAAGGGCAGCTTGACCCTCTGGCGGGATCTGCCAGTCCCAGCTATGAGCAACCACTTCCAGGAAGCAGAGCTGAAAAGTTTAAATTTCTGAACTGAATTTCACCCTGGAACCAAAATGGAAGTGGAATACAAAGATGGCTGCAGCTTTGTCTCAAATAGCCATCTGCAGCAATAGGAAGCTAGTTTTGTTTCATGGGTGGAGCATTGACTGGTTCCAGAACAGAAAACAAAATCAGCGAAGATCTTTAAACCAAACTGTCACTTTGTCCTGTGACAAGAACATGTAACTGTTAGTGGCAACACTGAAAATTACAAAGTAGCCAGGAATGTAGCTCAACGGTAGAAACAGTTACAGAGCATATGCAGGAGGCTCTGGATTTGGTGTGTCCCCCCCCCCCCCACCACTACCATTACAAAGGGCACAAATATATTCTTACAGGACCAACAGCTTTATGGAGCATGTTCAAGTTAATCAGGGCATTGCTTTGAAGTTATGGCTACCATCCATATGTACTCGGCAGGAACGCATGTCTGCTCTTTCATCGCAAACACACACACACCTGTACACATTGCTCATCACAGTGCCAGCGGGAGTGTTAACTCCCTCGGTTCTTGTTCTCAACAATAACCCCACCACCACTACCACCACACACACACTTTATCTTTATGGTTCTGTCTGCTTACCTGCTGACACGGATGTCAGGAGTAGTTTCTGAGATCCCTGTGGGACCCGCTCTCTGGGTTAATATTATCCCTGTTCTCTCAGCAAAGGCCTGGGGAGTGTAAGTTACTCTCTCTCTTCTTTCTCTGTTTCTTTTTAAAGGGATTTTTTTTACCTTGTAGTTTAAGTCGTTCTTGAACTTGGGGACCTCCTACCTATGCCTACCCAGCACCTGGATGAGTGGTATGTGCTGCCACTCCCAGTCCAAGGTGGTCCTGTCCCTTTTCTAGGGAGGATTGTGTCCATTTTTTCCTCAAGAAGTGATGTGCTCCATCCTTGCAGGTCAGTCTGGTGAAGCCTGAAGGTTTCTATGAAGGCTCTTCTCTCCATTTAGAGTCTTTTTTTAAACCAGAGGTACGACTTCTGTAATGTTTGGTGTGAGCAGAGGGGCAATGTGTAGCAGCCATGGATGAATGGATCACCGGGGATCTTACAGACATTAGATATACAAAGACACAGCATAGGAGTTCAAGAGAAGCCGCTGCCACCCCTTACATCCCTGTCCAGCTCATGATGTGTACCAGTTGCAGCCTTTGAAGTCTTACTCATGTCTAGTTATGTTAAGTAGGCCAGGAATGTTGGATTGATATGCTAGGGACCTGCAGAGGTGTGGGAAGCATTCTCTAGTCCTGTGGTGGAGCCTCAGCTTTTTACCACATCTCCTCAGTCTGCTGTGCTTCCTAAGAGCCTCCATTTTCCTTCTGTTGCTCGCTAAGACAAAAACAGGCAGAGGAGGCAAGAGCCAGTATTTCCCCCTTGTTAGAGTAGAGGAGCTGAACTTTCTTCTCCTTCACCAGGTAGAGTAGGCTCTAGTAAAACACTGTGTTGCCCAGGCTGTCTTGGAACTCACTCTGTAGCCCAGGATGGCCAGGAACTCAGAGATCCACTTGCTGCTGCCTCTCAAGTGCTTGGACGAAAGGTGTGTGCCACCACACTAGGCCTTGAAGTTTCATTAATGAGAATAAAAATGGAAGGTTCTGGGCCTTTTTAAAGACAGGGCCCATTATACCCTCCCCTTGTTGGCTCACTATGGCAGGAAGCTCTAGGAGCTTTTTAATCCTGTCATGAAATCCTGGAGGAGCTCCTGGAGATAAAACTCACCTGGATAAAAGGACAATACTCCTTCACTCCCTGCAGAGGTTTTACTCTCCAGAGGGTCCGCATTCACCAACCACAAGCAGCGTCGTTCTGGAGTACTTGCTCTGCAAAGCCTTTGTCTCCTCTGCCTTTCTCTCCAGTTCAGAGGGCCACAGACTGCTCTGTGACCTAATTCTCAACACATTTAGGGAGCTCCTTGTGATGAGAGCCTTGCTAAACATCATGGAGCTTGAACAGAGAATTCAGTGTGAGATTCTTTTTAAAGTATTTGAACCAGGTGTGGTGGTACACACCTTTGATTGGCTCAGGAGGCAGGGGCAGGTGCATCTCTATGAATTCCAGGCCAGCTAAGGCTTGCTACATAGTGGCACCCTGCCTCAAGAAAATATGTACATCTTTTGAACCTTGGTCAGTCTGGGAATGACTCTTTGGCAACTCATTTTGGTTTCAATTTTTACCCCGGAGAGCTCATTCATAAATTGTTATGTAACAACTGCGCACAGTACTTGGTTTTCCACCTGCTCTCAACTCTCTGGGTCTCTCGGGAGTGATCCTAGCTACGAGCATGTGTTTGCAGTTTCTCTTCCTTCCTTGCAAAGTTCATAGTTTCCTATCCAGCTGGCCAGGGAAACACCACAAGAGGTCAACACTAGTTGGGCTGAGCCAGGACTTTTAACTGTGTGACTCCAGAGGACTTTCACTCAAGTGGTCACATAGAGCTAGTTCAAGGACTTCAAAATTGCAAAGCTAGTTACTTTTTAAGCTACTTAGACATGCTGAATTTCTAAAACATAGGAATTCCAAAAAGTCTTGTGTTGAAATCCAGTTCCTTAAGGCATGACCACGTGCCAGGCGTGGTGGTGCAGGTCTGTAATCCCAGCACTCGGGAGGCAGAGGAGGGTGGATCTCTATGGGTTCTGGGGCAGCCGGGTCTACAGAGTGAGCTCCAAGACTCCAGGACAGCCAAGGTCACACAGAGAAAACCCATCTTGAAAAACAAACAAACAAACAAACAAACACCAAAAAGGGATTCACAGATATGTATAGTCAAGATAAAGATGTATCCAGTTAACATGAGGTCAGTGGAGTAGAGTAGGCATCACATCCACTACCTGTGAGTTTTCTGAGAAAAGAAGAAATTTGGACATTCACATGCTCACCACCCGGAGGCACAGAAGAAGACAGTCTGGTACTTGCCCTCTCTCGGAGCCTTGAGTAGAGGTCAGCTTGCTACCAGGCTCAACACAGCCACATTATTCACTCTGCTCAGCATGGGGTCTGCAGCCAGGAGGCGGTCATCTGTACTGAACACACCCTGCTTTACTTCCTCACAAGTGCTGTGAGAGAGAAGGTCTTTTGTTCTCTCAGAATAATGTGAGGATGCAATGTTTTCTTTCTTTCTCTCTTCTTTAGTTTTGCAGACAGGATCTGACTATGTAGCTCTGGCTTTCCTTGAAACTCACTTTATAGACCAGGCTGGCCTCAACCTCACAGAAATCTGTCAGCCTCTGCCTACCAAGTGCTGGGATTAAAGGACTATATCTCTACACTTGGCTTCAAAATTTTTTCTTCGCCTCTCCCTAAACAAAAACAAACCCGCAAAACAACAACAAAACAAGCAAACAGAACTTGAAGATAATTTCACCTGGGTTTATAGAAAACCCCAGGGGCAGGCCAACTGTAAGTCTCAGAAGCTGCCCAGAGGAGGAGAAAAGCCATGTTGTTTGAGTTAGTCTTGGAGGTCCGTCAAGAAATTGAACTTGTTTCAGAGTCTTGACTCTGGCCAGCATCTGAAAGAAAGAGAAGAAACACACACACACACACACACACACACCCACACACACACACCACACACACACGGGGGCGGGGGGAGGAGAGAGAGAGAGAGAAAGAGAGAGAGAATCTGAGTTAGAAAGACAGGCTGACTATAGAACCTCAAGGTGGCTTTGGAGCAACTGCCCGCAGGGATGGAGCATATTATTTCTTTAAGGGATAATTATTCCTCCTGTCCCTTTAGCATGCCTTAAAGCGAATCTGCCTTCCTGAGGGGCAGGCCTCTGGCCAGGTGACTGACACGCCCAGCTGGATAAACTCTTATCCCTTGGGTAGTTTGGAATGGTGTGTGTCCACCTAGCTACAGAAGTAGCTTTCCACAATGGGCTTCCACAGAGCAAGCTACTGTAAAGTCCCCCGCTGAAGGGATAATCATAAAATCCGTTTGCAGATGGGCTGGAACTGGGAGACCGATATAACCCACTTCTACCCCGAAAATCTAGAGATACCGTTCCAAAGCTTTTCACCAGAAGGGACTAGACTGGAACTCGAGATTCACCCTCACATGTGACCAGCAGGCAATGGGTGGGGCTCCTTTAGGAGGAAATAAATAGCCTCCGGTCCCTTCTGGCATTCCAGACCAAAGAATCAAGGCATTTCTGGAATTGTTGCTTTCAGGGACAAAGTTTTCTTAAAATTAACCTTAAAAGTATATTGTGAAGACACCAAGGTCTGGGAACCACGTGACCCGCGCTTTCTTTATATAAACAGCAACCCACGCTTTGGCTTTCCGCAGTCTTTGGACTTCAGCATGAGCCGATCTTGGTGGCTGGCGTGTGCCGCGTTTTCCGTCTTCAGTGTCTTAAAAGCCAGCTCCCTGGACACTTTCGTCGCTGCTGTTTACGAGCATGCGGTGATCTCGCCTAGTGACGCCGCGTTACCCGTGTCTCCCAGTAAGGCACTGGCCTTAATGAACCAGAATCTGGATATTCTGGAAGGAGCGATCGTATCAGCGGCAAAGCAGGTATCCTTTCCCATCCCTCCGGAGTACCAAGTCCCGAGGATGGGGGCGGGGGAGTGCGCGGGAGGGGCGGGGCTGGGTTTCAGGGGACGCGGTCTGTTCGCCTACCACGTTAGCCTGCAAGGTGCTTTGGCTACAGCTAGAATCTTTTCACCTCAACATTATTAAAGACGCTATTACACCTCCAGCAAAGGGAGGGAACAGAGTTTGAGAACATTTTGCTCATTATTTAAGCAGGACTTTGAGGAACTAAAGAGTAGGCATTTTTCTTTTCCCTTTCTGCTAAACATAAGGGGTAGATTACAAGCACGGCAGGGGCCGCTTGCTATTCTCTTTTTGAAAAAAAAAAAAAAAGATTATTTTATGTGTATGAGTGTTTTCCCTGTATGCAATGTGTGTGTGCCTGGTGCCCACAGAGGTGAGAAGCAGTAGGTCTCCTGGAACTCTACCAGGCAGCTGTGGGCAGCCCCATGGGTGCCCAGACTTGAACCTGCGTCCTTTCGAAGAGTGATCGCAGCCCTGAGTGATCTCAGCCCTTAGCCATCTCTCCAGCCACTCCCCTTTATTTCCTTTCATTTCCTTTTCTTTTTCTTTCTTTTCTTTTCTCTTTTTCTTCCTTCTTTCCATCCCCCTTCCTTCCTTTTTTCCTTTCTCTTTCTTTCTTCCTTTCTTTCTTTCTTCCTTCCCTCCCTCCCTCCCTCCTTTCTTTCTTTCTTTCTTCCTTCCTTCCTTCCTTCTTTCCCTCCCTCCCTCCTTTCCTTCCTTCTTTCCTTCCCTCCCTCCCTCCCTCCCTTCTTTCTTTCTTTCTTTTTACTATAATAGCTTCAGTGTATCCTATGCTCTGGTTTGTAGGGTTCTGATAACTTTACAATCTGACAAGATCTGGGGTGTTCAGAGTGTATGGCCACAGACTTGCAGTTTACAGTTTACAGTCTGAAACAATTTAACTGGTTGCAAACTCCTGACACTGAGTATCATAGTCATCAATTTTAATTTCACTAACATTTAATTTCATTTAATTTCACTAACACAGTATGTCTGCTCACATCCTTGGGTTGGATGAAGCCAACTTTACAATGTAAGTGTGCTTTAGACAGTGTTTAAGAAAGACATTCATAGGTCAGTTATAGACCGGGTCATAGAAAGTATGGTTACTGTAATAAGTATGAACACATCACTGTGTGTAGTGGCATATGCTTTCAATCCCTGTAAGCTGAAAGCAGAGGCAGGTAGATCCCTGTGAGCCCCAGGCCAACCAGGTGAACATATACTGGGAGACCCAGCCTCCAACATATATATGTATCATATATTAAAACTTAAAATATTATTACATGTTAATATTGTATTTCACCCTTAGTTCAACTGTGTAAAGGCCATAAGCAATCTTCAAGGTCGCTCTCCAATCTCAGAATGCCTCGCTGGCTGGGAGATTAGGCTAGGAATAGGCTAGCTGACCTGTACATGCTGCCCTTCCTCCTGAGGAGCAGGAGTCACGTTTGCTTAGAGAATTCTAAGGCAGAAGAGGTATAAACAGGAGTTAAAAATCAATGCAGACTCAGCCAGGCACAATTGACCAAAGTTCAAAGAGGGGTTGATTTGGGGGGAAGAAGTAGGTTTATAATTAATGGGATCGGGGGTTACAGAGCTGTTAATGGCTTAGACAGTTGTTACTGTCCATAAAAAAAAAAGTCACTGATATGATAATGGCAGGATTAGAAAATTAAAGTGCTTGGGGAAACCAAATATATACTTGCAATCTCAGCACTTGGGAGGTGAAGGCAGGAGGATGAGGAATTTAAGGTAATTCTAAACTATACAGTGAATTGGAGGCCAAGCTGAGATCCCGTCTCCGTGAGATCCCGTCTCAAAACAAACCAACAAAAAAGCTTGGGAAAAGAAAAGTAGAAAGAAACAGAAGAATAAGAAAAAAGTACCCAACTAGTTATTTGCTGCTTAATTTCCCCCACCCCATCTTCCTCTCTCCCTCTGTGTGTGTTTGATATAAGATATCTCTGCTTAGTTCTGCCTGTCCTAGAGCTTACCATGCATTCTAGGCTGGCCTCAACTCACTGGGCATCTCTACCACACACAGCCTGGCACACTTAATTCCTCAGCTCTTCTTGTGGCCCACCTCTGATAGTTTGTCTGCTCCAGAAATGTTTTAACTCTCCTTTTTTAACAGGGTGCACACATTATCGTGACTCCAGAAGATGGCATCTATGGGATTCGTTTCACCAGGGATACTCTCTACCCATACTTGGAGGATATCCCAGATCCTCAAGTGAACTGGATCCCCTGTGATAACCCAAACAGGTGAGGAAACAGTGTGTGTGTGAGGGGGGCTACCAGGGGGAGGTATCGGGAGGAGTGGTGGTGACAGGGAGGGCAGATATGATCGTACCTCACTGTATAAGTAAAGAAATTCTCGAAGATGAAAAACATGGAGAATTCAGTTACGAACTTCTACTCACTTGTTTTGCCTGTGTCAGTCAGAGTTCTGCTGCCATCACTGGAGAGCTGAGATAACCAACTTCAGAGGAGACTCTGAGGTCCTAATCTACGGTCATCTGACCTCATTCTTTAGGCCTGTGGCAACATCACACAGCGTGGTGGCTAGGCAGGGCAGAGCAGTCTTTCTTACTTCAGATAGCCAGAAGGCGATAAGGTTGGGAGATAGCAGGGTAGCTTCTGCTAATTAGAACAGAGTTGACGAACTTAATTACAGTTTACCTTCTGGGCCTTGGAATGGACTGCGGGGTTCCAAAATAGTCAGGACAGCCTCTGCAGTGCAATTGTTGTCTAGGTAGGGAGTCAGACTCCAGAGTGTTCTCTGTTCTGCTATCTCCCAGCATTCTTCTAGTTCTAAATTTTGATTTAGGAATTTAAAGTGTTTCAGGATGCTCCTATCGGGCCTTGTTTCATGAACAGAACACGGAAAGGTTTGCTTTATGATACCCAGAGGATTGCTGCAGACATTCTAAAATTAACATACATAACATCTGTATGTATGTTATAGATCTGACATCTATTATGATTCAAAAATATGCATGGCTGGGTTCTTATCCCCAGAATAACTTCTACTGCCAAATTGCCATGGTTGCTGTCCTCGGAAGTCTTTTGTTGTCTTAACCCTTCTCCCTACTTATTATTTGCAATTGTTGTATACACAGTTATACAGAACCCATGGATTTTTGTTAAAAGTTAATTCAGATTTAAAAAAAAAAAAACTTCTCTCCCAATGGACATCTGCCAGATTTGGCTCCACCCCCGTGCAGCAGAGGCTCAGCTGCTTGGCCAAGAACAACTCGATCTATGTTGTTGCGAACATGGGAGATAAGAAGACGTGTAACACCAGCGACCCGAGGTGCCCTGCCGATGGCCGCCTCCAGTACAACACCGATGTGGTGTTTGATTCCCAGGGCCGACTGGTCGCACGATACCATAAGGTAATATCAGTCAGTCAATCGATTAATTAATTAAACAGCTAGCAAATAAGAGCGAGTAGGAGAACGACTATCATTTACAATAATAAACATCCTTTAGAGGGAGAGTTGTGACAGCACAGACCAGTTCCTACAAGGCTGGGAGAGGCGCCACCCAGAGCTGCCTTCACTGAACTACTCTGCCTTCTCTTGGGCTTTGGCTTTTAAAACACCACCAAGGTAACCAGTCACAGGTGAACTGAAAAAAGGCTTTGTGGAATACTTTTAGTCCTGAGAAAGGAGCACAGTCCTCTGCACATAGTGAGGTGTTTTGCAGACGGTCGTCTGTTTCAGGGGTACTTTGTAAGTTTTGAGACAAGTATGCCGGCCCACCTCATCTGTGCTGTGAAGGTTGTCACTGGCTCCATTCTACTGAAGTGGCCCTGATTCTCTGAGGGGCTGCTCCGATAGAGACGGTGGCCGTAGACCACACGTGCACTACTGAATGAACACATTTCACATGCACAGAAATATCCCTGGGCGCTTCCTAGCCTTTTACTTCCTTGCATTGTTTGCTTATCACAGCAAAACCTTTTCATGGGAGAAGAACAATTCAATGCACCCACGGAGCCCGAGTTCATAACTTTCGACACCCCGTTTGGAAAGTTTGGCATCTTCACATGCTTCGATATTCTCTTCCATGATCCTGCTATCACCCTGGTGACACAGTTCCAGGTGGACACCATACTGTTCCCAACAGCCTGGATGGATGTTCTACCTCATTTGGCAGCCATTGAATTCCACTCAGCTTGGGCTATGGGCATGGGGGTCAATTTTCTTGCAGCCAACCTACACAATCCTTCAAGGAGAATGACAGGTAGGGAATATTTGGTCTTTAAACTTGGGTTGGAAAGGACATTTTAAAAATTAGAAAAATTTTTCAACTCCTGAGATTTTAAAGCTAATGTAGTCTTTTTATAGAAAATATTTGGTAAAGATTTATTGATTTTTTTTTTATGTATCTCTATGCATTTTGTGTGCATGTATATACACATGCAATACCCTTGAAGGCCATCAGATTCCCTGGAACTAGAGTGGTAAACAGTTGTGAGCCACCATGTAGGTGCTGGGAATTGAGCCCAGATTCTGTGGAAGAGCAGCCAGTGATCTTTAACCCAACTCCTAATTTTGAATATTTAGTTTGTCATATGGTGCCCATTCAGTTTTTAGGTAAATTGTGGGATGGTGCACAGCCGAAATCCAAGCACTTAGAAGACTAAGACAGGGAGATCCTGAGTTCATAGCCAGCCTGGGCTACATAGTGAATTGGAGGCCAGCCTGGACCCTGTCTCAAAAAGAGAGAAAGAAGACAAAAACAAAAATAAACAACCCAAAAGAGATAAAATAATAAACATCAAAATAATATATGCCCCCATTTGATAGATTACTCAACTTAAATATATACCTTTAATTCATGTTTTAAATTTCCAACTTATGTGAAACTCTTCTTTTTAATGTCTTTTTTTATTTGTTTGCTTTGGTTTAAATGTCTTTATTATCATGTCCTATTGGATTTCCGATGGTCTAGTCAGCATATATTATGGGAATTAGTGAAATATATCGCTTAGAGCGAGTGAAACTGAATTTTAGATACCAGTGACAACCACAAATTCTCTTTCCCTGTTCCAACTGTGTTTCTAGGCAGTGGCATCTACGCACCAGATTCTCCAAGGGCCTTTCACTACGATAGGAAGACCAACGAGGGAAAACTTCTTCTGGCACAGCTGGATTCCCACCCACGTCACTCCGCAGTGAACTGGACCTCCTACGCCAGCAGCGTAGAAGCACCCCCAAAAGAAAACCAGGAATTTCGGAGCGCTGTTTTTTTTGATGAGTTTACCTTTGTGGAGCTCAAAGGAATCGCAGGAAACTACACTGTCTGCCAGAACGATCTCTGCTGTCATCTAAGCTACCGGATGTCGGAGAAGCGAGAGGACGAGGTTTATGCCTTCGGGGCATTTGATGGGTTACACACGGTGGAAGGACAGTACCACCTGCAGGTAATGTCTGCGTCCCAGACATTCTAGATCCAACGCTCAGGGCTGGGCAAAACGGAATGGCAGATAATCAGTGGGGATTGTTTGTAGCGCAGTATGCGGACACCTCACTTCGGGAAATATTTCAGTTAGGGTTGTTATTGCTGGGATGAAACATCACGATCAAAAGCAAGTTGCGAAGAGTCTTGGTCACTGTCCTGTTGCTGTGAAGAGACGCCATGACCAAGGCAAGTCATATAAAAGAAAGCATTTAATTGAGGCTTGTTTACAGTTTCAGAGGTTTAGTCTATTGTCATGGCGGGAAGAGTTGGCAAGCAGGCAGACATGGTGCTGGAGAAGTGGCTAAGGCTTCTACATGTGGATCTGCAGGAAGAGATCAAAAGCCTGGCTGAGGCTTTTGAAAGCGCAAAGCCCACCCCCCAGTGACACACTCCCTCCCAAAAGGTCACACCTCAAAATCCTTTTAAATAGTGTCACTCCCCTGGTGACCAAGCATTCAGATCCATGAGCCTATGGGGCCATTCTTACTCAGACCACAGGGAGAAAAGGGCTTATTTTGCTTACACTTTTATTGAGAATGGAACATATGCAGTCAGTGCTTGGTATAGACAGAGTTGTCCCCTGAGATTATTTAGCAGAACATCTCCCAGGCCGTACCAGGAAGAGAGAGGTCTTACAGCAGGGCCAGACTTCTTACACAGGCTCTGCTGATCCCTGGGTTTTGCTCTCAGCCCATCTCACTCACAACAGGGCAGCACTCTCCTAATACGGCTCTTTGCTCACAGTTTCTGCTCCCTCTAAGCCATTCCACACACTGCTACATAATATGTTACAGTGCTTCTTCTGATTATGAGACTCTTGCTGAAAGTTCCTCACAAAACACTAGCTGACAAATGAAATGCTTTAAGTATAGGAGACCCAGAAGTCTTGATACGTGGTTTCTCCCCTGTAACCCTCTACTCACTCATGCCCTGTGCATCTGCGTATTAAGATGCTTCTAGCATTTACCTCCAATTTGTATCATCTATAAAATTTGTGCATGTTAACAAAATGTTATTCCTTCCTCAATGGTGGCTCCTACATTCTCCGCTTTCATAGCACTTTTGAGTTATCTTTGCCATAAAAGATACTTGCCACATAACCTCATTTTTCTTTTTCTTTCTTTCTTTCTTTCTTTCTTTCTTTCTTTCTTTCTTTCTTTGTTTTTTTGAGACAGGGTTTCTCTGCATAGCTTTGGCTGTCCTGGACTCCATTTGTAGACCAGGTTGGCCTTGAACTCACAGAATCTGCCTTCCTCTGCCTCCCTAAGTGCTGGGGTTACACCACCATGCCCAGCCATAACGTCATTTTTCAATATCCTCTGCTTGGCTTCATCAAGGTCAGAGCATGCCTCATTATTCACATACTTGAGACCAACAGCCCCGGATGCCAGAACTGTGCCTACTGGGTGACATTTTATTTACTGTGTAAACATACCAGCCGTACTTGTTCCTTTCCACAAACATTCGAGTATATATGTAGTAGTTGCACAACAGTGTTAATATTGTGACACTGAGTGTCGAGCCCACACTTGGAAAACACCGTGTCTAGTGGAGTAGAAAGACACATGAGAGGATAGTTCCGCTGGGGCAGATGCAGGATGGAACGTAGTGTGTGTTTTTGCTGGAAGAGTATCAAGTTGCTGAGTTTAGTCTAACCTGAAGATCCAGGGAAACTTCCAGAGTTGGTGCTTGTGAGAAGAAGGGGAGTGTGAAGGTTTCTTTTATGCATCTACATATTGGTGTTGTAAATAAAATGGTGTTGGGCTATATAATGATTGTGGCAGTGTTATTTAACCCACTATCACAATTAATAGGACCAGACACCTGTTAAATTTTATAGTTGCCTTATTTACTTTGGGCCGGGCAGATATTTTGTTTGTGCTGTCTCAGTAACCTCACCATCCATCTCCCAGCCCCCATCCAATGCCATCCACCATAACCATCCTTATCTGGGCTACTCTCCATTCATAATCTTATAAATACTTGCCTATATTCTTCATCTGGGCCTTTCCATGCCATGATTGGAGTCCTTCCTCCTGGCTCACATGGTTCCTTCTCCACATTAATCCTCCTTTCTCCTCTTTTCCTGTTTGTCTTTCTGTTTTCCATGATTCTCTTGTTCCCAAAGCCCGGAACCTCTGCCATGTCTACTGCATTCTACCCTGCCCAGGTTTTAGGACTTTTAATCAATCAATTAGAAATAATGTCTTAGGCAGGTTTACACAACAAGGATAGGTGTATCCGGAAGTAGCCAGCTCTTGAGGGCCAGTAATTAGCATCAAAATATAAGCATCAGACCAACGCCCAACAACATATCTATAGTTGATTCCTCCCACCGCGCAGTACAGGAAGCACTGAGTACTGGAGTACTTTTATTATTAAGTGTGCAGTTATTCAGCAGTGAGGCAGGTGACCAAATGAGGAAGAAACATTTACCAGCTAAAGATGCAGAGGTAGTTTTCTTCTTTTCTCCCTCCCTGCTTCCCTTTTCCCCTCCCTCCCTCCCTTCATTCCTTCTTACCTCCTCCCCTCCCTCCTTCCTTTCTTCGTTTCTCCTTCCTTTCTCCTTTCCTTCCTCCTTCCTTTCCTGCCTTCTATTATTGCTGTTTTAAAAACAGGCTCCTGTTCTGTGGACCTGACTACGTAGTTCAGATTAGTTACTGAACTCTTGGTTCTTCAACCTCCGTCTTCAGGTTGCTGAGATTATGGACATGTCTAGCTTGTCTGATGACCTCAATTTTTTTTTTTTAGAGTAGGTAGCATCAAATTGATGAGAAATTAGAACATCTTCACCCAGCTTTAAGGCATAATTAACATACCATGGCATACAGCATGGCATTTTGATTCACGGCTACAAATCACACTGTAGAGTGATTAAATGGTTAGAGTGATTAGTGATTAGACACACTCGTCTTGACTCTGATGCCATTTGCATTCCTTATCTAGATTTGTATTCTGCTAAAGTGTAAAAGCACCAGTCTCCACACCTGTGGTGGTTCTGTGGACACGGCTTCCACCAGGTTTGAAATGTTCTCCCTCAGCGGCACTTTCGGAACCCAGTATGTCTTCCCTGAGGTGTTGCTGAGTGAAGTCAAGCTTGCCCCTGGGGAATTTCAGGTAACAACCGTCTTTGCTTGATATAGCCAATTAATTTAATACAAGAGAAGGCATTTTGACATCAAAACTTAACCCAAATTCTCCCCAGTATAAACATCCCCATTTGAAAAGGATAACATTCTCTTTGAGCATCATGAAAATAACTGAGGAGACTAGATTTCTTGCCTGAAAATTAATATAATTCACATGTCCCTTTTTGCCCTTAAACATAAAGATAGAAAGCTTATTGGGGGCACTCTATGGTGAAGGCTGGGTTACTTAGTGTCTGCTGAGATAGTCGACTAGTTCAGGACCCGTCTCAACAGAGAAGCACATTAGGACCACAGGTTAGTAATGGCTTAGGGCTTATTGCCCAGTAAATTTACAGGAAAAAGAAGAAGAAACAACAAGCTGAAGGGTCAGAGAAATCAGCGATGGTTGTTGTCTGCAATGAGGAAACCCTCCGAAGCCCAGAAACAATGGCTTGCTTCAGAAGCCAGTGTGTCTTACAGGCAGCATTCTTCCTTGACTGTGGGTCTCACTCTCAGTTCCTTTACTTGCAGGGGTGGTTTCAGGGTGAGGGTGCACCATGAAAGGCTGGGGGCTGTAGGGATCTCGTGGCAGAGTAATAGACGCAGGTCAAGCCCCACCTCGGCTCACTGCTTCTGACTGTTGGCTGTAGTCTTCGTGGGTCTGAAAGGACTGGCTACCTCCGACTTTTCAAGCTTATTGACTCATGGGGATGCTTTCCTCAGACAAACACAGCATCAGGCACTGATCACATACATTCAACAGTGAACAAACCAGTGTCAGCTCTGTGGCTTCACATTTTCTTCAGACCCTGCGACATTTTGAATATTCGAAGGATAAAAGTGAACTATTGTTTAAAGCTTTCTTTCTTTCTTTCTTTCTTTCTTTCTTTCTTTCTTTCTTTCTTTCTTTCTTTCTTTCTTTCTTCCTTCCTTCCTTCCTTCCTTCCTTCCTTCCTTTCTTTCTTTCTTTTTTTCTTTCTCTTAGTACTGTTGGATTTTTGTAACTTAAATAGACCTTGTAATTTTTCTGTGTTTTCATCAGGTGTCAAGTGACGGGCGCTTGTTTAGCCTGAAACCGACATCTGGCCCCGTGCTAACTGTCAGTCTGTTTGGAAGGCTCTATGAGAAGGACTGTGCATCCAACGCTTCCTCGGACTTCATAGCACGCTCACTGATAATTCTGCTGATTGTAACCCCTATCATACATTATTTGTGCTGATAGAGTTTTCACACTTTCTATTTTGTTTAGAATAATTTAAAATTGGTGGATGAAGAAAAAAAAATCTCTTGACCAACAGTGACCTCTGATGTCAGAAAATAACTAAAGTGCCTATTTAGAGAAACATGCACGCTAGATGCATTTCAGCAAAATTAACAAAACTTTGAGTGTTGGTCTGTCTTGGAGCTGAGCTGTTGGACCAAATGAAGATCACACATCTTTTTTCAGAGGAAATAAAAATTGCAGTTAAGAGGTACATCAATTTATCATAACGTATATTTATGAGAGGTTTGAATCTCAGCTATGCTTAAGATTTCCAATCTGCTTGTTCACTTGTGGTGTTAAGTATCTATCTAAATACACTCACTTATGGGCCAAGTCCTGTCCCATTAACTCAAGTTCAAATCCCAATTCCCATGAGCCCAGAATGTGAGTGCTTTGGTGTCTTGGGAATTAAAGAGGTAAAATGAAGTCATTTTCATGGACTTTAATCCAATATGACTGATGTCCTCAGAAGAAATTAGGACAAAGACAAGTGTCAAATGAAGCCTGTGTGAACACAGGAAAAGATGGCCGTCTACAACAAGGAAAGGGCCAGGACAGAGCAAACCTGCTGACATTGAACTTCCGGCCCCAGAATCAAGAGACTAAATAAAGCTCTCTCTAAGTGCTGCAGTCATTGGCTCTCTGTTATAGCAGTACAAACAAACAAACAAACAAACAAGAGCAACAAAACCAACAAAGTTCTCTCCTTGGCCCCATTTTCAAATCTAAATACTTGGACAAAATGTTTACGTGGTAGTATCCATCTAGGCCTTATCCCCAAGACTCCAACAGACTTTCAGAGAAGATGGCTCCTGCACTGATGGCCATGAGGTCACTGAAAAGCTTCTAGTATTAGGAAGTAATACTAGAAAGCCACTTTTTCGAAAATATGTTTAATCTGATACTAGATGTTCTCTTTCAGTAACAGCAAAGTCTTCAGATATTACACCACTTAGCAAAACAAAGGGCAAATTTTAAATAAAAATATCTCTGAATGGAGGATAATCCACACAGCACTATTATGTTATCTGTGTCTCCTAGTACAAAATGTGCTGTACTGAAAAAGAGAGCAGGGAATCACAGCAGTGATCCCGAATAATGATTCTGTGTATGCGTGTGCACCTATGTGTGTGTGTGTGTCTATGACAGAATCGTGTGTGGTGCAAGAGAATGTGTGTGTGTGTGTGAGTGTGTGTGTGTATGCCTATTCTTGTTTTTGAGAATGGATGTAAATGTGTAGAGGTTGTAAGACAACCTTGGGTTTTTATCCTTACTTCCACCTTGTTTGAGAGAGGGTCACTCTCGTAATTCATTGTTGGAATTACAAGACCGACTGACCAGCCACCAAGCTTCTAGAGAATCCCTTCATCTAGCCATAGGAGAACTGGTATTACAAAACACACAATGTAGTTCCTGGCTTTTAAAAAATTATTTATTTGTTTGTTATTTTGTTTGTTTGTCTGTTTAATCAATCATGTATACAATGTTCTGCCTGTATGCCAGAAGAGGGCACCAGATCTCTTTATAGACCCACCAAATGATTTCTGGGAATTGAACTCAGGACCTCTGTAGGAACAAGCAGTGCTCTTAACCTCTGAGCCATCTCTCCACCCAGTTTCTGGCTTTTATGTCGGTTCTGACATTCTAAATATAGGTCATCAGGCTTACATAGCAGGGCTTGATCCTCTGAGCCGTGTCCTCACCCAAAGGGTACTGATTTTGTTCTCAGTAGTTACTAATGCAATGTCACAGTTTCATCTTTATAAGAGAGAGAAGTTATATTCCCCTTCCCCAGCTTTGTAGCTACAGAGCACGGGAGAATTCAGCCTAAGGGCTAAATAGAAAGTACATGATTAATATTGACATACACATATGTCCTGGAATAAAGATCAAAGTGAGTTGATCACATCTGCTGATTTGCCACAGAGAATAAAGTCTTGAGATACTAACAAAAAATGTTAACATGAAGAGTAAAAAAATTTAGGTCTGAAAGGTAAGCTTACAATAGTGTATAAAGAATAATCTGTGTATAAAAACAGAGTGAGCCTGCTCACCTGTATGTCTGTGTGAGTGTGTGTGTGTGTGTGTGTGTGTGTGTGTGTGTGTGTGTGTGTGTG